GTAAGACACAAATATTCTCGATACTGTTAGTCTCACTCATCCATCCCACATAATTAAACCGACGTTTAACCGTTTGGCTCTCACAAGAGCTTGGCCTAGTTACATCTTATTTTGACTCCTCAATACTTGATTCGAGAAAAGTTACGATACTTGATTTGAGAAGGCTTCTCTTTGGGGGATAGAGATCACTTTCATGTTCTTCACAACTTTTGAGAGTCTTTACCCTTGGCCAAGGAGGTCTTCCAACATCCTATTCTATCATGTTTCAAGGTCTTGAACATTAATTCCTATGAAGGGGAACTAACTTCTCCAAGCATGTTGGCCACCATCAAGCAATCATGCAAATGCAGTGTGCCTTTGATACGTTTCCTTGTCAAGTGTTTCCTGCCAATCTCAATGGTCAACCTCAAACCTAGTTTTACTCCCTCCCCGGGGGGAGTGTGGTGGGTGTGCACTAATAACACCTTTAACGAGCTTAACAGACTATTTGTGAAGCAGTCCACATCAAACAAAAGGACCAATGCCAATTACAAATAAATAAGTGCAATTTCTATTATTGATGAGAAGTTTAAAATGCTAGTTGTTGCATGAATCCATTGCTAAGAGTCGGTATAAATTTAGTTTATAGAAGGCCATAGGTTAGACTATGCTCTATGATCACTACCCCATAGTATACAGAGCTTATTGCTTGAGCCAAAGTTATTGGTCAATAGAAACTCATCCAAGATGTTAATACCTCTTAAAGTGATCATCAACGAGGACAAAAAGAATAAAAAAAGAGAAAGAATCGAGTTTGAGCTTTGCTAGTTAGATTAGAGGTAGGCTGGATTGGATGATTTGGGTCGAGTTAGACCATGTACGATTGGTTTTGGCCTAACATTGGGTTATGCTAAAATTGGAATGGGTTAGATATTCATGGCACTAGTGTGATTTAGATGTGAGCTAGGCCAAGTATATTTTATCCTTAGTGATTTTATAAGAAAAAATCTATATATATAATGATTGAGAAGAAGAATGCAAGCAAAGAAAAATATCTAGAAATTGGATTAGTCACTACATTAATGTGGTCAAAATATTTCAACATCTCAATAGAAAACAACTAAGAAAATCTAAAATTAATTTGTAAAACATTGAAGGCTTTGAAGGCACAAAGCTGGATTTTTGGGTCTTAAGCCAAATGATAGTGTGTCAAAATAGAAGACAATGAAATGATGGAACTGAAAGGGAGATTAAATTTGAAAAGGAATATACATTGAAAAGCAGGCTGATTTGATAGATGGAGGAAAGAAGAAACCTCCACATAGCTTCAATTCTATTGCTAAGAGCTGGAATGTCTCACTACACTCACTTGGAATGGAGGCTATTATGCATTATCATGACATAGCGAAATATAGAGTTTAAAGATGCAAAAAAGAGAAAAAAAAGGAAATTTTTTTTTTATAATATAATAAAAACTTTTAGGATGTGTTTAGGGCGGCGGTGCGGAGCGCATCTCACTTTTTAGTTTTTGGCGAAACTATTTTTGTCTATTTCTACAATAAGTTGTAGCTAAAAATTATGTTTTTCAATCATACTTGGCTTAGGCCTCGTTTGGTCCAGCTAATTTGGTGCGGTGCATTTTGAAAATGCACTTATGGCCGTTTGGGGAAATTGTGTTTTGACGGCTTATTCGAAAAGTTATGTTTTCAAACTGCTGAAGTCAATGTTTTCACACTATTCATGGCTAGGTGAGTTTCAACTTTCTAGCTGAGGTCAGACTTTTTCACAAAAAAAAAAAAATAAAAAAATAAAATAAAATAAAATATATAT